TGTGTGTGTCAGAGACTCGAGTCCGACTTAAGTCGCACACACAGAGACTCGAGACTCAAGACTCAAGCTCAGAGACTCGAGCTCAGAGACTCGAGCTCAGAGACTCGAGCTCAGAGACTTGTGAGCATCTCTGGCGTGTGTTGATGTGTGTGCTGGTGCTGATAGCCAATAGGGGAGCAGGACGGTCCCGCTGTGACCACTCACCACTCTCCACAGGTTCTGCGTCGGCATGGAAACGTTGAAGTCGATGTAACCCGACACTTCCTGAGCGTGAGGGCTCATGGGAGCTGCGACATCATGACTACATCACAAACACAACAGAGACGTGTCAGCAGCACAACAATAAGTCAACTACTCCCAGGGTGCATTTCACTAAAACAGCCAGAGGTTTCCACAAACATTCACACCTCTCAGCAACAGCAGCTGAGGCTCATGGGTAATGTAGCATTTAGAGAACACATGATCTCCAGCGTCAGTTCTCAGATGGCGGATTGTCCTCGAATGCATCCATCAAACAGCATCCGCACAGGTGAGCCGTTTACCTGTTGAGGAAGCGTGAGGTCATCCCGTGAAGCAGCTGGATGACATCACCGTGACGGACAGGTCGGGGAGGACTGCTGACCACCAGCTCCTGTCTGACAGAGAGAGAGAGACAGGTTGGACGGGGACTACGTCTCCCAGCATGCCCCGGGACAGACAGGTGACCTACCTGCTGGGGTCTTTGATGATCCACCAGTTGTTGACATCTTTGAAGGGGTAACAGGTGACCTGCTGCTGGTGAGAGCTGCCCCGCCCATTTTCATACCTCAACACACACACAGAAGACAGGATGTGATGTCATTCGAACTGTAACGGACAGGTTTCTGATGAGTCAGAGTGAGCTGGCAGCACCTGATTGGGTAGTTGGCTTTGTGCGAGTGGAGCCAGCAGGAGATCGGCTGGGAGGCGGAGCTTCTTAAAGTCACCTGACTGCCGTAAGCGACTTCCAGAGGCTGACCCTGCGTGATCCTGGAGAGGCCGCCCTGCAGAGAGACGATCAGTCATCAATCATCAAAGGCGTTGGTGACATCACACGCAGTCCCGGCATCAATAATCTGATTATTGATTGAAGGTGGTGCTCAGCGTTAACAGACCAGAGACCAGCGTAGAGGCTTTTTCCTGCACATTAACTGGAACTGGATTTAATGCTCAACAATGTTAGAAAGGTAAACTATTATAAGAAATTATAATATGACAGTATTAACTAAGTAAACTATTAACTAAACATACTCTTTATTTAATGGTGCACAGTTGCTCCTCCCGGCTGTGGACAGATGATATTTGCTGCTTCTGGCCGCCTCCTCTGCAGAGCAACACGCCGCCCTCATTCTGTGTCACTAGTTATTCTTATTAGGGCTGTCGCAGTCCAGTAATTTCCACCGCGGCATTATCGCATCTTTCATCAATGAAGTCATTAGGTGTCTGTATCCGTCACCTACCTGCCCAGCGGGCCGCTAACGGCAGCTTTATGGTCTGGCAACACTTCGGGTCACGTTCAGCCCCCGGCGATCCGTCCTTGAACCGTTACAGAGCTCGTTACGGTTGTGGAACTTTTGAAGCTCTCATTTATTAGTTTAACGTGCCCTGAAGTGTGAAGTATGAACACTGCGGTTGTTGCGGTGCTCGCCATCCTCCGCGGCGGGCTTGACCAATAGGTTATCGTTTTGTTATAAATATTGTTTATCTTTGTTCAAGTTGAAAGTATTCCGTGTATTCCTTGATAATCAAGCGAGCAGACTCACAGCACCGCTTGTTCCAGCGTGCAGCTCTAGTCTTTTACCACCATTACCCTAAATATTTATTTATCTCCCATCCTTTTGAGAATTCCCCAAATGCAAGCGGGCTGCTGAAGATGTGGAAGAGAGATGAACATCTAGGATCCTGGTATGTTTCTGTGCCGGTGTAATAAAGAACCAGGACCCGGATCAAGTGGTTCTCCACTGCTGTTCTTTAATCTCTTCAGTCTCCCTCTGATATCCCCACTTATCTTTAATAAACACTGCGTCGCTGCCTGTCAAACATCCACCACTCTGTACACTTTCGAGTGCCGTGAAAGGCGCCATCAAATAAAATGCCTTACCTCCAGACTGGCCTGGAAGGCGGAGCTCATCAGTTGGTCATGTGGTCCGCTGCGGTGCAGGAGACTCAGGTGGATGTAGAACCAGAACACGTAGAGGAGGACAGGAAGCACCACCAGACACACAGCTCGACACACACACTGCACGCACACCCTCAGCTGAACACACACAGGAAACCACACACAGACATTTAAGAACGATCACTTCAGTGTCAAAGCTCAGATGTCGGAGCGTCCTTGAACGCACCGACACAGCCCGTTTCTCCAGCAGCCATAAACGCACCGCGCGCAGATGACGATCGATCTATAGACTAATGATCAGCGGCGAGGGAGGCAGGTCTGAATCTGGACTCACATGACTGATGGTTCGGTCTCCAATCAGGGTCCAGGTGTGCAGAGAGGCCACGCCCAGCAGCAGCAGGTAGGAGAACACGCCCATATACTTCACCCTGACACACACACACACACACACACACACACACACGTCTGTTTACTGTCAGCGTTTCAGAGAAGTGAACAAACTGAGCTCAGAGCAGCTGCTCACCCGACCGCTGCAGCACAGGAGGCGCCGGAGAGGAGCAGCCAGCAGAACCGGGACCAGCTGAGGAGGAGGGGACCGCGAGAGACCGGGAGGGACCAGGAGGGGCCGGGAAGTCAGAGGTCAGACAGGGTCTTTTAACACTCAGCCTCTTTCTGCAAACTGACTTCTGATTGGTTTAAATGCGGGGGGGGGGGGGGGGGGTAAAGAAGAGTCTCACCTGTCAGGAGCGTTGTGGAATCGCAGGTAGGAGAAGAAGGCCAACAACACGAAGAAGATAAGGACAGACTCCAGCAACATGAAACGTGATTGGACGATCAGAGAGTTCTCTGCAAAAACAAAGAACCTTTAAACTCAACAGACACACAATAAACCTGCTTTCAATAAGACCCTGAACGCCCCACGTCCACAAGAGTCTCTGAACAGCCTGCACTCACTGTAGTCCCCAAACGCCCCACGCTCTCATTATAATCCCTGAACGCCCGACGCTCTCAGTGGAGTCCCTGAACTCCCCACGGTCACTATAGTCCCTGAATGCCCCATGCTCATTGAACTCCCCACACTCATTGGAGTCCCTGGACGCCCCGTGCCCGTAGTGCCGGGTCATGTCTGCCGCCTGGTATCATGAAGTGTGCGTTCTGCAGAGAACCTCCAGGAACACGTTCTAACAGGAACTCACCCAGCAGCAGCAGCAGAGCAGCTCCCAGAGCCGACAGGTGAGAGAACTTCAGCTCCAGAGTCAACAGGTAAACCAGAGGAACACAGAGAGCTCCGCACAGAGCCGGCAGCAACCGCAGACTCCACACGCTCACGCTGCTGGGATACTCTGGGGGACGAAACAAACACACCCACACCGGTTTTACACTGCTTAAACAGAGATTAACTGGTTTTAACTGGTTTTTAAACTGGTTTAAAGTGGTGTGAACAGGTAAACTGCAGTTCAGATGTTCCCACCTGCTCCGATTCTGTTCCACACAAAGTTCCCATCGAATCCTCCCAGGTACGCTGCAACACAAACACACAGTACCATCAGGAACAACGTGTACATGTACACATACGTAGTATCATAATACGACTGCGTGGCTGTCGTTGTCACTGACCTCCGAGGGCCAGGATCATGTGACCGAGCGGCGGCCCGCTGTCATCGATGAAAAAAACTCTCTTCATGTAGAGAGACACGAACTGACCATAATACACCTCATCAAACCTAAAACACAACACACGCACAAACCTCAGAGTTCTGACGGCCCTCAAATGCACCAAACATTAGTGTTTTTAAAACAGCCAAAAATATAATGTAATTTGGTGAGAATGTATAAACGAACACACTCACACTACAGCGTTGGGGTAGCTGAGGCAGCTCAGTCTGGTCCAGAGGGCCAGCAGAGACACCAGCAGCAGGACCAGGTCCACCTGAGCCGTCACCACCAGGGGGAGCTGCAGCATCGCTGGCACCTGAACAGGTGAGACAGACGGAAGAAGGACCTGAGACCTAAGAAAAGGAATCAACTACACCAAACTCCATTCATACTTCTGTCAATATAAGCAGACAGCGCATGTATTAATCATGAACCTGCAACAAGCCGCTCAATAACGTCTGTATTATTTACTGCAGCACTTTAAACACAGAGTTACAGAGTTTATAGTAACTTTTATTGCACACAAGGTTTTTAAGTGAGCTGCACTTCAGTGATGACCATATTTCCTCCACAGGCTTCACATCACATGTCTGAAGGAGAGACACGAACTTTATTTTTAACCAAACAACGAGCTCAGCGCGGTAACACAGGTCGGTGGGTCACAGCTGGGAGGAACAGCTTCACAGTGAGAAATGTGTAAAATATGATGACGAAGTGAGGAAGCAGCTGAGCTAGCAGCCGTTAGCATTAGCCGCGCTGTTAGCCTGTAGCTGGTCTCGCGCACCGTCACATTCCTGCTACAGAACGCCAAAGCTCACCTGGTGACGTCACTCCGTGAACGTGAAACCGAGCATCCTGCCGGTAACCTGCCGGGCTCCTCCGGTAGCCGGTGTTTCCCCGGTGTTTCCCCGGCGTGTCTGTGCAGCCGCTCGATGTTTCCAGTGTGTGATCGGTGCTGCCTGCTCGCCGCTCTGTGCTCTGCGCATCGGTCTTGTTAGCAGCACCGTTAGCATGTGGCTCACCTGGCTGCTGTCAGCTCAGGTGGTCCGGACTGGATCTCAGTAAACCTAATTAATGTTTTTAATATTCATTAATCCAACGATTATTCGACTAATCTAACGACTCATTTATTGAATATTCTCAAGATAATTTTCATCAATTTTCTGACAATAAATTTACCCAGAATAAATATCACAAACTTGTCTCATTAATAGTTCAATGTTTTATTCAATCATCCTGAAAATGGCTCATTGTGTAAACACTCGTTCACAATATTTAGTCTCTAGTTTTTAACCTACACGTCTTTGGATCAGAGCAACCACAACACGAGAGTTTTTACCATTTAAAAAACAACAACAGTTATTTAAATAGACTATCACTGATAACGTTTTCTCCCTCAAACAATCAGAAGAAAGGAGGTGAGTTAAAAGACAGGTGAGAAGTGATGTTTATTGTGATATTGCTCTGAATACACATACAGTTCTGACGTCAGATACAGAAGGAGGCCACGCCCACTGGGACTACAGGTCAGAGGCGTGTTAACACCTGGGGCTGGTTGCACAAAAAAACTTAAGTTTTTTTTCTTAAGTGTGATACTTAAGTCTTAATTTCTCCTTAGCTAAGGAAACTACTTAGCGTGCTGCACAGAATCCCTTTAAGCGTTTCCTTAGTTAAGGAAAGCATTAAGGTGTTTGCTGCACTGATGGAGAATTTACAGTAGTAAAATTCTAATGTCACCGTGTTTGCTTGCACCAGCACTTAAACTGTTACAAAGTTGGAAAGAAAAGAAGACAAGAAAACCAAATAGGTCGAAGGAGGAAAATGTCGTACTGCTGGAGGAATGTCAAAAAAGAAAGCACATATAAAAAAGTAAATTTGATCTGCAAATAACAGCAAACAGAAAACAACAAATGTGGGAGGATATCGCTTAAAAAATTCAAGTCTTCAAGTCTTGTGAAGAGCTTCATCCAAGAGATCCAAAATAAGTTTGACAAGTCAGAGATCACCAATAATGAAAGTGAACCCAATAAAACTGCTGAGAATAACTTTATTTACGCTATAGATCTAAACTAGACTGTATTACTAGCTAATGATGAATTTGACAGCCTTCTTGATTTTGCTCATCGTTTAGCGTATCCATTGGATTCTCCCGGTCGCGGAACTCTTCTCATGATATGTAAATTTTCTTCATTTATGGCCATAAACTCAACCGTGTTGCGGTTAAGATAAAGCCAGAGGTACCTTAAAATATTTTCCTTAGTTGTAACGGTTTAACACACTTAAGGGATTCCCTAAGTATAAGACCAAGATAAGGAGAAAACCTCAAATACTTAAGTGAACATTTTAAGGAAACTTTAAGGGGAAGCTATAAGGGTGTTTTGTGCAACCAAATGTATTTTAAGGAAACCTTAACTCAGACTTTAAGGAAAATCTTATCTTAAAGTTTTTTGTGCAACCGGCCCCTGGCTACTAGGCTAGCTCCAACCTCAGCTAACACCCAACTAACCTGTGTTTCCACAAAATGTTCAGGTTGTTGCAGCTTATTGCAGGAACAGCCCAGTTTAGCACATGTTAGCACACTATTAGCCATGATTAGCCCAGTATGCCAACAGCTTTATTTCAGTGACTCATTAGCACCAGACCAGCACCGGTCTAGTCCAGTTCAGTACCACTTTACCTCAGGTTAGCACCAGGTTTATCCACCTCATTCTTCATCATCAACATGTTAGCATTAAGCTAGCACAGGTTAACTCAGTTATTGTCTTGTTTTCGTCTGTCATCTCTGATTGGCTCTTGGGGCATTTCGTGGGCGTAGCCTAAGAGAAAGTTCCCACAATGCTTCCTCTGCCAGGTGATCACTGAAGTCATTAAAGAACGATATGATGTCATCATTAGGCTGCAGAGAGTAACGACTGTAGAGAGAGAGATACAAGTATTATTTCAAAAAGTGATTATTGATGAAGACTGAAATACTACCAATGATAACAGTAAAAATAGTACTACAGGTAACTGACACTTGTTGGTAGCCCCTCAGAGTGTCCAGGATGTTAAACTGCTGCCACCGTTTAGAGAAGTTGACGTTTGAACCCTGTGATGTCATCACCATGTCGGGATTCCCCAGGTGGACAAAGGTCAAGTCCTGAAGGATCAAACCCCTAAAACAGACAAGTTAGTGTGAAAGAGACAGGTGTTTAGTGGTGTTTACAGGGTACTAACCTACAGGAAGGGTATACATAGTGGGGTTTACAGGGTATTAACTGATGGGTAGGGTATATATAATGGGGTATGCAAAGTATTAACCTACAGTATGGTGGAGTCTACAAGGTGTTAACCTACATGTAGGGTACAGTGGGTAATAAAGGGTGTTAACCTACAGTCTGGTGGGGTAGCACAGGGGTACATAGGGAATTAACTAACAGGTAGGGTATAGTGGGGTATTAACTAAAAGGTAGCGTATTGTGGGGTATACAGGCTATTAACCTACAGATGGGGTATACAGAATAGAATAGATTTTATGTGTGTATATAGATAATATACAATACAGGTAAACATATATACATATTTTATATTTATATATCCTGGTTGTATATATTATTGTGTCTCTATTTTTATGAGAACACCGTTTGTTTTAACCTGTCTTTGTCTTTTTTTGTTCTTTCTTGTTGTTTTTATGGTGCAAGGGTGGCTCCGTGGGAGCACCCTAAATTTCATTGTACCTTCACAGTGCAATGACAATAAAGACTATTCTCTATTCTCTATTCTCTCTCTAGAGAATATTAACCTACAGGTAGAGTATACTGGGGTATACAGAGTATTAACCTACTCGAAGGGTATAGTGGGGTATACAGAGTATTAACCTACTTGTAGGGTATAGTGGGGTATACAGAGTATTAACCTACAGGTAGGGCATGGTGGGGTATACAGGGTGTTAACTACAGTATAGTGGGGTGTACAGAATATTAACCTACAGGTGAGGTATACAGAGTATTAACCTACAGGTATAGTGGGGTATACGGAGTATTAACCTACAATATAGTGGGGTGTACAGAGTATTAACCTACAGGTGAGGTATACAGAGTATTAACCTACAGGTATAGTGGGGTATACAGAGTATTAACCTACAGGTATAGTGGGGTATACGGAGTATTAACCTACAGTATAGTGGGGTGTACAGAGTATTAACCTACAGGTGAGGTATACAGAGTATTAACCTAAAGGTATAGTGGGGTATACGGAGTATTAACCTACAGATATAGTGGGGTATACGGAGTATTAACCTACAGGTGAGGTATACAGACTATTAACCTACAGGTAGGGTATGGTGGGGTATACAGGGTGTTAACTACAGTATAGTGGGGTATACAGAGTATTAACCTACTGGTAGGGTATAGTGGGGTATACAGGGCATTAACCTACAGATAGGGTATAGTGGGGTATACAGGGTGTTAACTACAGTATAGTGGGGTATACAGAGTATTAACCTACTGGTAGGGTATAGTGGGGTATACAGAGTATTAACCTACAGGTAGGGTATACAGAGTATTAACCTACAGGTAGGGTATAGTGGGGTATACAGAGTATTAACCTACTGGTAGGGTATAGTGGGGTATACAGAGTATTAACCTACAGGTAGGGTATAGTGGGGTATACAGAGTATTAACCTACTCGAAGGGTATAGTGGGGTATACAGAGTATTAACCTACTGGTAGGGTATAGTGGGGTATACAGGGCATTAACCTACAGGTAGGGTATAGTGGGGTATACAGGGTGTTAACTACAGTATAGTGGGGTATACAGAGTATTAACCTACTGGTAGGGTATAGTGGGGTATACAGAGTATTAACCTACAGGTAGGGTATACAGAGTATTAACCTACAGGTAGGGTATAGTGGGGTATACAGAGTATTAACCTACTGGTAGGGTATAGTGGGGTATACAGAGTATTAACCTACAGGTAGGGTATAGTGGGGTATACAGAGTATTAACCTACTCGAAGGGTATAGTGGGGTATACTGAGTATTAACCTACTCGTAGGGCATGGTGGGGTATACTGGGTTTTAACTACAGTATAGTGGGGTGTACAGAGTATTAACCTACAGGTGAGGTATACAGAGTATTAACCTACAGGTATAGTGGGGTATACAGAGTATTAACCTACAGGTATAGTGGGGTATTCAGAGTATTAACCTACAGTATAGTGGGGTGTACAGAGTATTAACCTACTGGTAGGGTATAGTGGGGTATACAGGGCATTAACCTACAGGTAGGGTATAGTGGGGTATACAGGGTGTTAACTACAGTATAGTGGGGTATACAGAGTATTAACCTACTGGTAGGGTATAGTGGGGTATACAGAGTATTAACCTACAGGTAGGGTATACAGAGTATTAACCTACAGGTAGGGTATAGTGGGGTATACAGAGTATTAACCTACTGGTAGGGTATAGTGGGGTATACAGAGTATTAACCTACAGGTAGGGTATAGTGGGGTATACAGAGTATTAACCTACTCGAAGGGTATAGTGGGGTATACAGAGTATTAACCTACTGGTAGGGTATAGTGGGGTATACAGGGCATTAACCTACAGGTAGGGTATAGTGGGGTATACAGGGTGTTAACTACAGTATAGTGGGGTATACAGAGTATTAACCTACTGGTAGGGTATAGTGGGGTATACAGAGTATTAACCTACAGGTAGGGTATACAGAGTATTAACCTACAGGTAGGGTATAGTGGGGTATACAGAGTATTAACCTACTGGTAGGGTATAGTGGGGTATACAGAGTATTAACCTACAGGTAGGGTATAGTGGGGTATACAGAGTATTAACCTACTCGAAGGGTATAGTGGGGTATACTGAGTATTAACCTACTCGTAGGGCATGGTGGGGTATACTGGGTTTTAACTACAGTATAGTGGGGTGTACAGAGTATTAACCTACAGGTGAGGTATACAGAGTATTAACCTACAGGTATAGTGGGGTATACAGAGTATTAACCTACAGGTATAGTGGGGTATTCAGAGTATTAACCTACAGTATAGTGGGGTGTACAGAGTATTAACCTACTGGTAGGGTATAGTGGGGTATACAGAGTATTAACCTACTGGTAGGGTATAGTGGGGTATACAGAGTATTAACCTACAGGTAGGGTATAGTGGGGTATACAGAGTATTAACCTACTGGTAGGGTATAGTGGGGTATACAGAGTATTAACCTACAGGTAGGGTATAGTGGGGTATACAGAGTATTAACCTACTGGTAGGGTATAGTGGGTATACAGAGTATTAACCTACTGGTAGGGTATAGTGGGGTATACAGAGTATTAACCTACAGGTAGGGTATAGTGGGGTATACAGAGTATTAACCTACTGGTAGGGTATAGTGGGGTATACAGAGTATTAACCTACAGGTAGGGTATACAGGGAGGTTCCACTTCAGCCAGAGCTGCTCTGTAGGCTCTGAAAGATGATGAGCTGTCAATCAAAGAGCTGTATTCCTCCAGAGCCTAAAAACATACAAACACATCAGTCGTGTTAAAGACTGATTCACATATGTGCATTATGGACAATGATATTATTATTACACACAGACCTCAGATGTGTTTCTCTGCCAGTCCAGACGTCGTAAGGGGGCGGAGTCCAGCGCTGACAGGATGGACAGGTACGAGTTAAAGTTGTTCAGCTTCCGCAGGTGCTGTAGGAACACACGCACACACACACACACACACACAGTATGTTACAGGTGTGAGGTTAGAGGTCAGTGTTGCTTCATGGGTCTGATATTCATGTTCACATTAGCCTGTTAATGTTTCATTATGACTTGAATTAAGAAGCTATTGTATTGCTTTTATATTATATATATCTATAAAGTTGCTGTGATGTCACCTACTTTGGGTTTCCAGCTCTGTGAGTGAAGCCAGAAAGTCCTGACCACAAACCTATTTTAAACCTCAGCAGTGTCTTAAATCTACTTTACTTGTTCAGGTATTCTTCAGTCACTTGGAGGCAGCAACAACAGCATTACCAGCTGACTTGACAGAATTACTGCATCATCCCACCTGGGCGCTGTCCATGCTCCTCCCTTCACCTGTGTGTGTTTACCTTCATGGTTTTCAGGAACTTCAGCAGTAGTTTCTCTCTGTCCTGAGGTTTGTCCTGAAGAATGATCACCGAACGCACCCTGAAATCACACATACACGGGTTATTAATTACTAACTGAATAATAATTGTTTAAGAAACCAACTGAGTCTGTTTCTAATTCACATTTAAGGCCTCCCTCTGCTTCTAACCAAGTTCTTGTTCCCCATTTCCAAAGGTGGACTGGCGGGGCTTCCTGCTTACACCAGCACATGCACAGTGTACGTGAACGGGCACATGATGTGGGTTTCCAGCTGTTTCAATACAGACGGAGTTCAACTCTGATGTGCAGCTAAAAGGCTGGTGAGATCGGTTTCATTTTAAAACTGGATGGATGGAACATAAGTGTAACTGTGAATGTCTTCAAGGAGAGACGGTCTGAAAATGTTTCTCACGCCCTGAAACATTGATGGTTGTTGTTCGCTAACAGAAGAAGAAGAAGCTGTGGAACAGGAAGCTGAGTCAATGTTTACCAGAAGGAGACGTTGTTGAAGTGTTGGGTGAACTGTGTCAGGTTAGGACTCTTCTCCTCATTCTGCTCTTTAGACCACAGCAACACCTCCGGGAGCTAGACAGGTGAGACAGACAGGTGAGACAGACAGGTGAGACAGACAGCTGAGACAGACAGAACAAGTGTATGGTGTAGTGTCGTTCAAACTGAACATCTATCCTCCGCTGAATGGCTGTTATTGTAGGACCCCGTCCGTCACACTCTGACCCCGTCACTCTCTGACCCCGTCACACTCTGACCCCGTCACTCTCTGACCCCCCCGTCACACTCTGACCCCGTCACTCTCTGACCCCCCCCTCACTCTCTGACCCCCCCGTCACTCTCTGGACAGGTGTGGATGCGCCCTGAGACTACAGGTGTATATCAGATATATACCGTGAGATATTATTTATGAGCCCGGCCGAAGCTGAAAGGAAAAATTTGAACCTCGATCTTGCAGAAGAGCTCCGAGTCCAGCAGAGTCAGCTGTTCAGCTAAATCCTGACTCCTGAAGTCCAGAAGAGTTCCTGGTCTGACAGAGGACAGAAGGAGACCTGTTGAGGTCTGAGAGAATGAGAGGACTGTCAATCATACAAGAGGTCAGAGGTCAGCGCTTACCTGGCGGCCACGCCCCTGGCTGCGAGGGGGCGGAGTGACTGAGGAGAGCCAATCAGCTGCCACCTCTGCTCCATCTTGGACAGGATGTTGGAGCGCAACAGGTGGGCCAGACCCAGCTCTCCACCAATCAGGAGGCTGAACACCAGGTCCATCAGCAGCAGCAGCAAATCAGAGTCCAGCTCTATCGCACTGCACACACAAACGGGTTCTATTTACACCGCCATGACACCAGACACGCCTCATGGGAAAAAAACTTCCATACAACAGAAAATATTCTGCACAAACTGCCATATTGCACAATATATTTATGCCTATTAACATTTTCCAATATATATATTTTTTAAATGCGTTCAGCGTGTGTGTGCAGATCAACGGCATAAAAAGTGATTCAGTGGAACTCAATAAAACTATATGTTCTTAAAACATTTACTATCAGCAACTTATTCAAGTGCAAATTATATCAAAGTTTTAAATTAAAGATACAAAATAAGGCAGAATGTAATTTTCAGAACATTTATTTTCATCATAGAACAAAACGTACCAGAAACACCTCATTAAAACCCGGATTAAAGGCTTTCTAACATTTTATTTATTTCAGTCTGGTTTTGTGAGAATAAAAGGATTTATGATGCAGTATATCGAAATGACAGAGATGTAAAGATAATAATCAAATGGGATTGCACAACGCTTTGGGGGTCGGGACACGTGCTATAACTTAAATGGCTCAAAATGCCTTCCAAATATCTGTCCGGTGTAGTGGACACCGTGCATGAAAGGCTCTCAGCGTTCAGACTCACATTCAGGGAGGATTTCTGGTGTGATTTCATTCTCCATAAATAACAAACTTGATCGGTTTCATGTATTCAGTGTTTCACAGCCTTCCCAGTGTCGAGGTGGAGACTCTGAACACCTGGGGTCTCATTTATAAAACCTCACTCGAAGTTTCCGTGCGCCCAAAAGCCTAAAATGGGGTGCCTTATAAAACCGTGAGTAAGTTCCCTTTATAAATCACTGTCAGCTTGAAATGTGGCGCCTGAGAGGGCGCTCCATGTCCGACCCTCCAAACAGCCACAGCTGCCTGCTCATTAATATTAATAAGTAATTTCTCCTCCAGTTCACCTTATTGAGGAGAATAAACTGCTGCATGGAGGATTAATTAATCTGAGACAACAGATCTGAGGCTCTTTTGCAGAAACAGAATCTGCGTTTGTGTTTCTGATCCTGAATCTTTTTGTGGCTGCAAATGATCTGAAATTGTGTTTTTTTATTGCTCACTTCAGGGAAAATCAGTCAAACGTGTGTTTGTTTCTTCAGAAATACTCAGAGGGGATGTCTGGATTTATTCATCTCAGACCGCTTTATCCTTCTGCCACGTGAGGCGCCGTTTCTCTTCTCTTTATGTGCGTTCGCATGGTTCAGAGTTTACTCACAGGACGCACATTCTCCCGTCAGCTCTGCTTTTTATAGATCACGACCTTTGCTTGGGAAGTGGCGTCCGCACGTTTCCAGCCCTGTTTTGTACCGACGCAGCATTTATAAGTGAGACCCCTGGTCACATAAACCTACCGGCCTGACAGACACGGAGCTGAAGGGACTTTGTTGTCTCCAGATAATGAGATGATTAAGACGATCTGATTGGTTCAGGTGTGTGTGTGTGTGTGTGTGTCTCACCACAGCTCGTCCACCACTCTGACCAGCAGGTGAAAAGTCTTCTTGGCGGCGGTCAGGTCTGCAGGCTCCCGTCCTTCACACAGGTGTCTGTACGTGCTGAAGGTTAAAGATCCACAACAAACTGAACCTGCCAGTTAGAGGGAAACACCTGGACGAGCCGAGGCCTGTACCACGAAGCTTATCCAGGTAACTGCGGGGTTAACCAGGGTTTTCAGCCCATAGCTGAGTTATCTAGCTAGCAGCATCCAAACAATGAACGTTACATGTTGCCGACGTATGTTGTGTGAGACGAGAGACGTAGTTCATTGAACGGGTTTCACACAAAACCACATGTAACTTTAAGCTGATGATACACGGGGCAACTTTTTGAGCAATGTTGCTGGGCAATGTTGCTAATGGCAAGTCCGACTATGTTTTGAACGGATATCGGCGGTGTGGGTGGTGGAGTGGTGGGGGAAGGGGATTACGGTACTACTCATTACCATAGATGGCAACGTTGTCCTGCACGATTGCTCTAAAAGTTTCTCCGTGTCTCATCAGCTTTAATGTTTTACAACAAACTGCGACTTTCTTCACGAACAAAATTATATTTTAAAGTGATAAACATCATGTGTGTGATTCAGGGCTCAGCTCACAGGATCAAAAGATAAGCTGTCTCTCGCCGTTGACTAGCGTACATATTATTACTGAAATAAGATGCCATGGGCCGGAAGCAGAAGCGAGTGACTCAGGCTCTCTATGCACCTGCGTACGGTTCCTGTTTCAGATCAAATGCTTCTGTATTGTTTTATTAGTAAAGTCATATATTAATAATCCTGACAGCAGTGTGAGTGGTTTTAAACCACATGTGTACACAGTGTTAATACAGATCACAGCGACCACGGTCCGACACACAGCTTTACACAGGTGAAAACTGACTCAGGATATCTGTGCTGGAGTTTGCTGATGACATCGTTTGGGCTGATGAAGCTCCTGTAGGTGCAGAGGAAGGCTTCACGGTACAGGCCCTGTTCTACACACACACACACACATACAGAGTTATTAATGCTACGCATTAATAAAATTATATTTAACATTGTTTCCCTAAAATTATACTCTGCCAATGTTTTTATTCTTTAGGTTTAAAAACACAAAACGAACACTTGTATTTCCTAAAACTTAGTTCACTGCTGACATCACATGATTCCAGCATGGCTCTGTGTTTGGGGACAGAAGAGAAGATTCAGCAGGTCTGTTGGGAACCTTAGGGTCCGAAAAGCCTGAAACCTGCGTTCTCTCTGACAGCCAGCAGGGGGCGACTCCACTGGATTGTATAGAAGTCTGTGAGAAACTGTTTCCACTTGTCAGCTGATTTATTCCCTCAGTAAACACTTTCCTGATGAGTTTATAGTCTCAGTCGCTAGTTTCAAGTCTTCTTCAACACAGCATGATGTTCATTTAGTAAATTATGGTCCCATTTAGAGGAACAGAGACCAGGAAGCAGGAGAGGCTTTAGGACGACCTGTCAATCAGGATAGAGGCGACTCGTATCTGCTGCTCTGTGTAAATTCTGTTCAGCGCTGCTGAAAAATCATTCATTTCCAGGTTCCTCAACTTATTCAGGTGTTTGTACCAGAGCAGGTTTCCATGGTTATATTTTTTGTCATACTGCACATTGCTGCAGCTCCTCTTTTCAGCCTGTGTTGAAGGCTTCGTTTTAGCTATGGAGTGATACATCTTGTCTCTAAATGATCTTTGTTGGGAGTTGCACATGCTCAGTTCCTAGTTAAGGACTACTAGCCAATCAGAAGCAGAGTAGGGCGGGTCAGCGAGAAGCCGGTAAACGGCTCGGGTTCAGCCGTACTGGAGCGAGAGTTTCAGAGCGGTGAGTTATTAATCTGTATCCATAAAGTTTTAACTGAGCTCTGTCTCTACATCACAGGAACAACTTTATGTCCACTGACTGCCTGGAGGGTAGCTAGTGTTTGGAAGGGAGAGGAGAGCTGTGTGCTGCAGCTCGCTGTTTCTGAGGGCGTGTCGGAGTCGCCGCTTGGCGAGCGTTATATGAGGCGTGTTTAGCTTTCATCCCTGTGATGTCACAGGGAAGCTGCTGGACTACAAACGAGCAGTTTTCAGTTCAGAGCAGAGTTTTCTGTGGGAGATGGGAACTCACTTTGGGCTTTTTCACTTTGCAAACCTGTTACAGGCACAAAAAGGTACAGAACTCAATTCATTTGAGTGATGTTTTCACGTGACGTCACACTCCAATGAAAACGTTAATTTCCGTTCCCTGCCAACCAATATGCAAGTGATACACTGTTACTTTGAGTTTGTTACTTTTTGCGTTGCCAAAATGCTGGATGGTTGTTGTGATTTACTAATCGAGGAGACAAGCCTGAGCTGTGTTAGGAGAGGGATTCCCCCAGAAGGTAAAAGTAAACATTACCGCAGTCGAGCGGCGGCAGGGACCTGGCGGTTTTTAACGGTAGAAATGCGGCAGCAGATACTGTAACCCAACACTTTCAGTTTGTGTTCATATCTTTCTTTTTCTTAAGTTGGAAGGTGATCCAAATATAATTTGACTGCTTTTGCGGCGTCTCTATGGGGGAGTCGCAGTGTGAGCCGCTATGTTGGTCGTTGTTTTGCCCTCCAGGTCACCGCACATGTCACGTGACTGAAAACTATGAATAAAGGAGAGGAAACAGGCCAAAAAGCAGAATACCACCTCTTTAAGCCTGTTTGTCACTAGCCAAAATTAGCATCCCAGCTACTATCACAGTTAATGTGAACTACAGATGCACTTTGCTGACCAAGCTAGCTAGCTCCGCCCTCTTGTCCAAATATGTTCACGTCCGGTTACAAAAAAACAAGATGGCGACAGGCAAAATGCTTCAAGGCTTCAAAAAGGCGGTCCATAAACCAACGGAGGACGTCTCGGCGGCTACGCCCAATACTGTTATACCGTCTGTGGTCAGGTGTAATGAAGACTGAACTCTTTTCATGACCGCGGCTGAATGTCTGTTTCATCACTACATGATGTAGTTTAATCCTGACAGTCCATCAAACTGTGATCAGCTTCCACCACTGGACTCTTTTCTTCTGTTGCCTCCCTCTACTCCCTCTCTCAGATGAAGTCCCTAGTCCTGAACTCCACTTCCTGAAATCATCTGGTCCAAGGTGTGTTTTTATGTGTGAGCCACAGACGCTCTGCTTCTTTTTCTGATTCTGAAGCAGATGTGAATATTTGCTGTGAAAATTTCACACAAGAAAAACAAATCTCTACCACAGCTAAGGGGAGGCGAGGACTCACCGGGGCTCTTGTCCGTCTCTGTGGCGTAGACCAATAGGATGTCAGGTGAGGCTGCCTTCACATCCGGCCCCTCCTCCTCCTGAGACAGACAGAGATCAGTTAGAGGTGAGGCGCTCTAGAGAGGTCAGAGGTCAGAGGTCAGGACCGTACCTCAGGTTTCATTGTGATTCTGTGGAGGATCTCCTTGTGGTTGGTCAGTAACACCTCCTCCTGCTCCTGCTGCTCATCCTGCTGCTCCCTGCTCCTCCTGCCGGGCTCCGCCTCCTGCTGGAGACCCTGAGAACTGCAGAGCGGAGCGGCGTCACTGGGTGCTCCAGTGTAAATGTGTGTGTTACCTGTCTGTGTGTGTGTGTGTGTGTGTGTCACCTGTCTCTGCGCTGCGTCTCCTCATTCTGATCGTCGCTCTCAGCTGGATCCTGATGACCACACAAACAGATCAGGTGATCAATAAGAGTGATCAGGTCACAGCGCTCCTGCTTCTTCATCATCGTCACACGATGAAGCTTTTTGATGGACACATTCTAACCTCCCCTATACAAGACCAAAGACCAGGTCCCACAGGGCGTGGACCGTTTGCTCGCTCACGTCATCAAACTGTTACTGAACATGATCAGCTGATGATCAGCATCATATCGCTAATTGATAATGACTGGGCTGGTTGATAACGGCTGAATAATAACAGACCAAATGGTCTTAACAAAGTCCTGCTGAAACCAGTGAGGGTGGCTGGTACCGTAAACTCAGTCAGTCACTACAACAACATTTAACGATTCATCAGCTAATCCATTTTCAACAGAAGTCAGTTTGATAATTGGTTAATTATCATCATTTTTACAATTAAAATTACATTTGTTCATTTAGCTGACGCTTTTATAAAAAGCGATTTACAAATGCTCTATATGTCAGAGGTTGCACGCCTCTGGAGCAACTAGGGGTTAAGTGTCTTGTACAGGGACACACTGGTGGATGGGTCACAGTGGGGGATTGAACCCGGGTCTCTCACACCAAATGCATGTCTTATCCACTGTCCATCACCACCCCCACATTTTGTTGCAGAGAAAAAGCCATCTTTTCTTTCTATTGGCTGAAAATATAAGTTTTTGTCCAACCAAATGCCCAAATATTTGTAATTATTAACGGACTGAATCCAGACCAGGCTCAGACAGGGTTCTACCTTCATACCTGATCAGGGGAAAAATTCATAACTGTAGTTTTGATCGAGTTTTAAAGCAGTTTCTGATCTGATAGAGCATTTTGCAGGGTATTCAAGGCGGTATCTGCTGTGGGGGCACAAGAGTACATAACTGCATCATCTGCATACAGATTGATACTTACAGAATTTGAACTTGGGACAAACATTATTAATGCAAACTAGAAAAAGCAAAGATCCCAAAACTGATCACTGTGGAACACCCTTCGTAACAAGGACTGGATTGGACATGTCATCAGCATGTTTAACCTTATCTATGGACAACTGGTCAGATAAAAGTGGAGCCATTTAGCCGCTTTGCATCCAATGCCAGCACCAAGTAATCATGGTCCACAAGTGGTGTTTACTGTACTGTGCCCTGATCCGAAACCTTTGTCTGTATTTAAAACATTGTGTGAGTCCAAATGTGATTTAAGTTGGCAACTAGTGATTTTTGAAAGGACAGCGAGATTAGAGATTGGCCTGAAACTGTTCATGTCAGATCGGTCGCCAGCTTTAATTGGGGTTTAAAATAAGCTGGCTGAAACCTGATTAAGACTAATTGACATGTTAACCAAACATAAAGGAACAGCTTCATTTCTCAGAACAAAAACAAACTGACGAGCTTCAGAAGGAAGTTCTGTGTTTCTGGCTGTTTTGAGCATCTAATAGAATCAACAGCTGCTGATGATCCAGATCCTCAACAAGTCTAAAGAAGGCCAGTTTATATCTTCTTTGATCAGCACGATGTGATTGATTAAGGGTTTTCTAATGATAAATCAGCCTTTAAAAATTATAAACTTTGATTAGCAAAGAGAGCGAGTCGTTAGAGCACAGGGTGATGGCTACTGATAACAGGCCTCTGGAGATATATTATTACAGACCAGATGTTTGCAGAAACAACATCTCCTCTGTGTTTCTGATCAATCCTCGAGACACTAAATGTCCAAGTGTTTGTTTCTGTGAATCAAACACTTGGACATTATTCTGCTGATTTCTAAATGAAAGTCAGAAACAGACGGCAGAAAATTTAATGAAATCAGGTGACCGTCTCACTTTCTCTTTCCTCATGAACTAATTCATTTGTTCACCTTTCGTTGTTTGCCTTTAAATGAATTCAACACTTTGTTTAAAGTTCAAAGTGTCAAATTAAAAGCCTCCCAGCAGCTTGCAGGTCTCCAGTACGCCTTAACGTGAAATATATAAATATCAGTCAGGAACACCTGAGCCGAAGGACCACAGGTGAAATGATTGTTTTCATCCTTTAGATGTTTTTTGTATTTGGAGGATCGTGGCTGTAGGCGTCAATCAGTCAACCTGCGTGTACCTGCAGTCTCTTCTTTGGTGGTAGAACTGGAGCAGGAAGCAGCTCAGGTGAGGGGGCGGAGTCTTGAGTGTTTGTGTCCAGGTGCGTTTCCAGGTGTGTTTCCAGGTGTGTGAGCTGGTAAGCAGTCTCCACCTCTCGCTGCCTGTTACTGTATCGCTGACTGGAGGTCAAAGGTCGCTGGTAGAAGCTGGCTGCTGACTGAGCGCTGTAGGACGAACAGAACTGGAGGTACTCGTGGACTGGATGAAGACAGACAGAGAGAGACAGACAGACAGGTATCAAATAAAAAAGTAGCTTAGTACAGAGAGCTGTGTTCAGTGCTGGTTAGTTTCAGCTGCTCTTCTTCTTCGTTGGTTCCCTGTAAACTGGGGAAACGCCTGTATCCTACTCTTCGTGTCAGCAACGTGAACCCAGAAAGGTTTCATGTTAGAAATGTCCAACATTCAGAAACTGCCAGATGCTAACCTGCATATGTTGGACAATTG